ACTATAAACTGTAGAGGGTTTGTCGACATCTACTTTTATTTATGTCAGATAGTGCATGTCCATTTTCTTTTCTTTTTTTTTTGTATTTCGTTCCCGACCGTCGTAATCTTTGAGACAACTGATAACACATTTTCATTCCTTTAATAAATCGCTAGTGATATCCCACTGTATGTTCTTTGAGTGAAAAGGCTACTAAAGCACATGATTAGCCATTCACAAAAAGGATATTCCAATATGACACGACATCAAGCACAGTGACGCTCGAAAACCCTGCTTTGAAAGTCTAGAGATTTGGTGCTAGATGGCGCTGCTGGTCACTACCCTTTTTATGGCATGGGGTATGGCTACTGACTCGGCATCTGCTGTGCTTGTCCAGTCTGAAAATCGCACACTTTCTTTAATAAGCTGTAAATGCCAGTCCTTGCTGACTCCATGGGGAACCGTGCTATTATTAAGAAAGAGGGATGTATATAATATATATGCTGTATGTATGAGTGAAAGCAATGCTGTGTTCCGGTAACTTTTGGGTTCTTTTTTTTGTTAGTATTTACTAATCTGAACCACTTTTTTCTCCCTCTCTAGTTCTACTTGTCGCAACTTAATGTCTGTTTACGATAGTTCTACTTTTGTTTCAAGAACTGGTGATGAAGGTTCGCGATAGGAACACACACACACACACACACACACAAACACGCACACGCAAACACACACGCACACAAACACGCACAGACACACACACTCACAAACGCAAACACAAACACAAACACACACACACACTCACACACGGGCACTGTAATTTGCATTCTACTTGTCAGTCAATATTTCTATTCTGCAGCAATTGCTTTGATACCCTATTCGGAAAAAGAGAGAATAATACAATCTTTAAAAACCAAATTGATATTTTGCCAAACGTAAAACGAACAAGAATTACCACAATGCCACAGTCCACAGCTTGTTCCCGTGACGAAAATGCATATACGATGGATTAAATAAACAGGCAACGTTATTTACCAGAAAAATGTACAAGAAATTATTTTTTACGATTTCACGATCTTTACTGGCGAGCCAATAATGTAATTGATTTATGGCGCGTCTTTCAGTATTTACAGTTTGCGTGGCATGACGGAGTCGTCTGCAGGAACACGCACGCACGGAGTTTAAAATGCAACACTAAAAAAAAAAAAAAAAAAAAAAAAAAAAAAATGAACAGACACACGAAAATGGCAACATCAAAAGGTGAAAATGCAGTAATGCGAGAATATGTAAAAATTTACAATACCAAATATATCATTACGTAAACTTTGAAATGCAGTTCTGAAAGGTTTAAAAACAACAGTACGTCGAAAAAGTTTACATACATTACCCAAATAATGATATCAAAAATGCTTCCAAAACATATTTCGAAAGACAATGTATGCAGAATATACAAATAATTTAACTTCCTTTTATATACCTGTGTGAAAGAGTCATTCAACCTTAGAAAAAATTATATAATTATATTTTAGAGTATGCAAGTAATTCAACTTTATATACATGCGTGTTTAATATTCAGAAAGGAAGAGAAAGAAAAGAAAGAGAGAAACGAAAAAAAAATATGTATATTCATAGAATAATTTCATAAATAAACACAGCATTTCATTAACGTGACTGATACTACAACATCTTAGATATTGCAATTAAAATTTGATGAATGCCTGATCCTATTATATTTTAATATAACAAGGATAGAGGCCGTGACACACACACACACACTCACACATACACATGCATATATATATATATATTAATATATATATAATATATATATATAATATATATATATATATATATATATATATATATGTAGTTGTATAATATAATCATATATGTTACCAATATATGCACACACATACAAACACGCGCACGCAAACAAGCACATATACAAACACTTTTGCAAAAACACACACACAAACACTCACACACACAAACACACAAACTCAAAAAAGTGACACATACACAAACAACGATCACACTGCAGATCATAAAGAAGAAAAAAAAATAAGATGGTTGAACGGGAATCTTCCTTACGTAATGCAAACGATACAATGTTAACACAGCTACTACGAACGCTAAGCGAGTGACCCGGGTTCGCCTGCTCTCGTCGCCACGGCCACTTGTAAACTGCATTGCTCAAATATTTTTAGCCGACTGGTTCGCCGTGTATGTTGTTCCCTACTCAGTGTTTGTCCTGTGTTGCTATGTACTTCAAAGCACACTCAGGCATGCGGACTTCTGAAGTGTGTTGTGTGTGTGTGTGTGTGAGAGAGAGAGAGAGAGAGAGAGAGAGAGAGAAGAGAGAGAGAGAGAGAGAGAGAAGGGAGAGAGAGAGAGAGAGAGAGAGAGAGAGAGAGAGAGAGAGAGAGAGACGTGAAAAAATTCCACCAAATTGTTGTAATATTTATATCACTGCAGCTATGCGTCCTTTTGTAAGTACAATGTAATACAGTTCTTTTATAATATTCTTGTAGCTCGGATACATCATACAATTTGTATGAGTTACTTATGCAAATTAGAATGCACACTGAATCATAAATCCTACACTCAGCATTATGCATAAATTGCTCATGGTTCAAAATCTATTCAACATAATGACGCCCGCAAATGGAACAGAAGGACTATAATTACTTGTCCAGAATAAAATTTTCCATGGCGTAGGAATTTTACCGCCAATAACACCGCGCAAGCAATATGACCGAATAAACTATCTGGGTGCATTCACCTTCAACGGTACTTGACGCAGTGGAGTATTCCAATGGCCCACCAACCGCCCACCATCTCGCTAGCACTCGCAGGAGCAACCTCTATAAAAATCGTGCTTGCTGAACTTCCTCGCAGCCGGAATCAACTTCGTGTCTCTCTCCATCATCTACTCTCGTACCTTGTAGGACTGGAGGCTCGAGTTTCAAGTTCGGGCAAGGAATTTTCCGGAAACCGCAACACCGACTTGCCTCCCCCCTCCTCCTGAACCCCCTTCCCCCATCCTCCTCCTCCTCCTCCTCCTCTCCCTTCTCTCCTTCCTCCTCACTCCCCTCCCCCATGGTCTCTTGAAGGTCAACTGGTTTACACCCCGATTCAACCGTGACCAGATTGAGGACCGCGTCAATTCACTCAAAGAGTCGTCAGTACTCCAGCACAGACCAACGGTTTTTAACGGAATCACGTTTTGAAAAACAAAACAAGAACGCTAGTTGCTATGTTGTTTTTTAAAAAACGATTATCGAACGTCAGTCAGTCATGGCGGATGGGTACGGACGTGATATTCGTGTTAAAATGAACGCGACCACGCGCCTCTTGTTGTAAGCGGAAAGGCTCCCTTTGCTTTCTGCTCCGTCCTTTCGTATTATTAACGATTTCATTGCCATCTTTACCTTTGTTACTACTTATTTCGTTAAAATCAATTCATTGTAC